TGTGTGTTCCCTCAGGGACACGTAGCAGCGGCACACCTTGTGCCACTGCTACACGCCCCTAGGGAACGCTCGTGCCATGCATGCTCCAGCAAGAGGCAGGTTACCCCAGGTGGGGTAGGGGAGGCTGGGGCCAGCAACTGTGCTGGCCCCAGCAGCCTTACCTGGAGTCCCGGGGGCCTTGGGGAGCTGCAGCCATGGCGCTCCTGCAGCAGGGAGCCTGGCCCGCAACTGGAGTGCAGCTCCAGCCGGCCAGGCTCCGGTTTTGGGCGGCGCGTGCTGCCGCCACGTGCATCGCCCTGCTTATTTTTGCCGTGAGTTTTTTTGACCCCGGGATCTCCCAGGGGTCAAGAAAACGCCCTGCGCTGCAAAATGCGGTGCGTGCAGAGTCCAGAGAAAGATAACAACAAAAATGATCAGAGGTCGAACATGCATAACCTATGAGGAAAACATTGGAAGAACTGGATTAGTTTAGTTCAGAGGAGATACAAGTGAAAAGAGACATTATAAGAGTCTTCCGATATGTAAAAGGTTGCTGCAAAGAGGAAGGTTATACTCTCATCTCTATAGTCATTAATTAGCTTAAATTGCAGAAAGGCAGATTTAGGTTAGACACTGGGAAAAACATCAACTGGAAGAGTAGTTGATGCTGGAAAAGGCTGCCTAGGGAAGCTGTGCGATCTCCAGCACCATCAGGCCTACTTAGGAACAGGATAGACAACCATCTGCCAGGATGATTTAGGTAAAGTAGATCCTGCCCTGGGACAGGGGGAGGGTTTAAACGACCTCTTGAGATCCCTTCCAGTCTACTCTGATTCTTATCCTCGTTCCAGTCAACATCACAGTTCTCACCTCTTCACTTTCCAGCATGTTTGCTCTGTTGGTCTCTGCCCCCCAGGCCCCCCACAAAATTGCTCCCCTCTAGGCACGTCTACATGTGCATTAATGCACTTTTCCTAGTGCGCATTAAATATAGTACCTCCAATGAGAGGTACTAAATAAATGCGCATTAGGCTGCCCTAATGCACAGTACCAAAAGTGCATGTTTTTTAAGCGAGGCTAATGCGCAGTAGCCTGTTTTACTGTACATTAGCCTAATTGCACATTTTTTACGTGACGCTTTGATGTGCAGTAAAATAGGCTACTGCGCATAAAGGTGCACATGTAGATGCACCCTCTGGCTACAAGTCTTCTCTGCGGCTTCTCCCATTTGGAGCTTGCCTTCTTGTGTCTCAGAAAGCACACTGATTCTTCATTTCCTTGGAATTGGCAAATATCTTTTCTCCTTGGCCTACCTCCTAAGAAGGGCTCGTCTCCAGAGACAGAAGAAAATTTTGCTACCCGTTCCGAAAGGCTGAACATTTCACAATTCATTTCTACTCACCTGCACCATCGGGACGTCATCAAATGCTTTAATAAAATCCTCCTCATCGACCGCACCAGCTCCCTCTTTGGCCGCTGACAGACAGATAAATTAAAAAGCCTTTTTTACCCTTCCCATCAACAACAGTTGCACCACATAAGAAAAGCATCACTTATGGGAGCACCTGAACAGGGGAGAATTCAGGTCTACTCCAAACCTATGTAAAAGGGTTTCAATGAGATGGAAAAAACAAACGCAAGGAAATTCAAAGCCAGATGCTGACTATACATGGCATCCTTCAATTCCCAGCCACAAAAGGGCACGTGAAGGAAGTCATTAAGGCAGCTGTTCAGTTTAGGGATGCAGCCTGACAAGATGAGACAGAATATTTACTTAAGCTGCAAAGGAGTTTCTCTTTTAACGGACTTTGACCTATCCATAATTGATGAACGCATGGGCCTTCTGACACCGGCAGAAGACAGGCAGATGGGGAGAAACGGGAAAGTGTCTGGATCATGAATCAGAAGGAGGGAGGAGTTTGCTCAAGATGAGACTCGGAAACATTTCCAAGTCAGTTTATTTACAAAATTCACCGAAGTTGGCTGTTATTTCTCTTTGCCTTTGTTTATTAGTGTGAAAACTTGGAGGTCAATAGTCAGAGGTGTTAGAAAGCCAGCGTACTGTTTTAAACTGCACAAACCTCTGGCTTTATTAAATAAAATGCCTTGCATTAACTTCAGCTACGGAAGTGCAGATGTGAGGCCACTAGGAGAAAGGTGTGTATCTCAGCAGCCTGCCCATGCAGCAATATGAGACACTGGCCTTCACAGACAAAAAAAGGATACGACTGTGGTCATAATTTGCAGGTCCACTCTACCAGAATATGCCTTTTGTATTCAGTGGGTGCACAAGCCTCACGTTCTCAGAGGGAACAATTTGCTGCTATTCAAAAGGCTGACCAAGGATTGTGCAGCAATTGAGTCCTTGAAAGAAAGTTGAAGGGAGACTTCGCTGCCTCTAGGCTCTGCTGAAGGGCCTTTGAATGTCATGTTATTGCCTTACCTGCGGACTTTGAGCCCAGAGCTGCAGACCCAAGCCTGCGGGCAGTCCCCATCCCAACCCTGCGGGAGTTTGAAGGGGCCTTTGAAGACGTAGAGGAGCTGGCCGAGGAAGGTCGGTTCCCGTCCACAGAGTCTTCATCATCAAAATTTTTATCTGCGGAAGAAGCATATTCAGCCATTACTCCGGTGAGAGTAAATGTCTCCCAGCCAGCGTACCCATTTGGGGTACCCCTCCGTGGTTTCTACAGGAACGCTGGAGACAACCGAGTTCTGCCTGTTCTCATCGCAGCAAGACTTCACTGAAGTTACTGGAAGATTAAGCAAAGCAGCTATAATCAAAGCCTATTACCCATCCCTGCCTGTCCTGTATAAATGCATGTTCGAAGTGCTAGGAGGCTCAGGGCACTTGAAGTGGACAACACAGATACTGCCCTGCATTTAAAGGCTCAGGTCCAGGTTACTAACTGAAAACATGGTAGTGATTTCAAGTCCGGACCCCCATTTTAAGCCTCCATGACTATACCAGACGGGAGTAAGTAGGTATTAAAGGTAACTGAGAACTGAGGCAGTAGTTTGTAAACTAAGAGATGAAAAGGTCCTGGGAGAGTAAATTACATTTTCATGCTCAGAGGTGGTGTTTGTGCAGGCAAAGTGAGGAGCAGCAGGGCACGTGGGGAAAGACCACACCAGGGTGCCCAGACTCTTCTCTGGATCATCAGAAGACACTCACCTGCTGCACTATGAGTTGTGAATGCAATAGCCTTAAATCCTCTAACATTTTTTTTTCTTTGCATGAAGATTAAGGCTTGTCTGCTCAGAAAAATGAACCCAAATTTAACGAAAGGTGGGAATTTAAACTTCAGCAGTTAAAACACACAAGCACCCCAGTGCAGATATGCATTCAGAATTAAAGTAGCCGTAATTAAATTCAGTATAGTTCACTGAAAACCATTTAAAACTAATCTTAATGAAGGTCACTAATTCTGAATGTGTATCTATGCAGGCCTTTAATTCAGTTTAATCCACTTGAAAAAAATAATTCAGATCTGTATGCCTGAGAGTCCCCATGTAGACAGACTCAGAAGCTGAGAGGTGGAAACGAGCGGTCAGCGGACTGAAAACAGAAGACCAGGTTGATTATCTGTGCGACTCCTACTGAAACAAGGCCAATCTTTGACACATGCAACCTGAATTAGCCTCGACTGGTGGGGCTGGGGGGGAAAGAGGCAAAGTTAATTTGGATCCTTCACAAGTACTTAAAGTGGGACAATGAGCTTGTAGGATCCCAAGATAAGAAATCGTTGTCCTGGGATAAATCAGTTGTCTGTTTCTAACCTGTGTGCGTAGCGGGCAGTTCATATAAAGAAAACCAGCTCAACTCCTAAGCTGTTTCTTCCCCAAATCTAAATGATGAGGTCTTGGGTCCCACATTACTCCAGCCTCTTCCTAGATGGAGGTCGAGTGTGAACCCGGAGCAGCGCTACCTTTGTTCAGCAAGAAGAATCACTGCTGAGCGATCCAAGGTGCCTCCTTCCCGTACCGCGCTGCCTACGCTTGTGCTGGAGCGACCGAGATCACAGAGCAGCTCCGGGCACACTTTACTCGCTATGTTCCCAACTCAGCAAACCACTGAAGTCCGCCTTATTCAGCCCAGCACTCAAGCACACGCATTTCACAGTAAGGGCAGGTGAAATGAGAAATAACCTCAAGTACTTTAATGACTAGGGGAGGACCGAGTAGGTTCACCTCCTCCCATCGTGTGCCCAGCCTGCACAAGACCCTTGAAAGAAAGTGGAAACTGATGATAATTAATACACATCAGAAATGAGGTAATCAATTAAGGAGACGAGTGATTAAGGCAAATCTGTGGCCAATACTGCCACTGACAAGAAGAAGGATTTTATTTTCTTCAAATAACCTTTGGGGATGAAAGGAATCCTAAAAAACAGCATTGGTCCAAATAAGATGGACAAGGAGGAGCCATCAGCACTAATGCCAAGAAAGGCAGGAGTGGTCATTAAACGTTTCTGTTCTGTATTTGGGAAAAACAGATTATAATACAAGCACATCATATTACACCAATGACGTACCACCCATTTCAACCAGAACTCAGGATGATGGTAAGCAACAGCTACTAATGCTGTTTTTCAATAGTCGGCAGCTCCAGATAACCTGCATCCAAGAGTTTAGAAGAGTTGGCCAAGGAGCTCTCTGGCTTCTTAGTGGTAATATTTAATAAGTCCTGGAACATGGAAGAAGATCCAGAGGACTGGAAAGCAGTTAATGCTTAAAATATAATGTTTAAAAAGGATAAATAAGACGATCCATGTAATTACAACCATGACACTCGAGCAAAACGAACGGGATACTAGATTTGATTAATAAAGAATTAAAGGAATATAACATAATTAATGCCAATCAGCAGGGGTGTCTGGAAGAGAAGCTTTGTCAAACAACATTTTTTCATGAGATCACAAGCTGGGTCGATAAGGGGATGCTGAAGACAGAATGGGCCTCTCTGCAAGGCATCTGACCCGGTACCCCAAGGCAATTTGTTTAATGAACAAGAATAATACAAAATCAAGAGGACGTTAAAAGAATTAACAACTGGCTAACTGAGTAGTGTGACCCGGTAACTGTGAACAGGGAAGCATAGTGCAGGAAGTGTGTTTCTAGTGGCCCCTACGCTATTGAACGTTTTTATCGATGAGTTGAAAGGAAACAAAATCACTGATGACAGAGTCTGAAGATGACCCAAAGATTAGGGGGGCTTGTACATAATACGAGGACTGGTCCATGCGAGAGTGATACGGATTGCCTGATGCACTGGGCACTTCGATACACCCAAGGGCGACGCTTAGAAAATGGGAAACTCTATCCAGGGAAGCAACAAGTCTGAAAAGTATTTGGGATCATGACACATCAGGGGTGGGCAAAATAAGGCCCGTGGGCCACATCCGACCTGCCAACTGATGGGATCTGGTCCGCGTGATGCTGGGAGGCCAGGGCTGCTGGAGCAGGGGGAGAATGGCCCTCGATAGGTCACCAAAACTCATTAAGTGGCCCATCAACGCAAATATAATGGCCCACCCCTGTGATACACAATCAGCTGAACATAAGGACCCAGTACAAAATTGTAGCTAAAAGGCGCAACAGTCCTAGGAATATATAAAGATGGGAATATTATAGGAGCCAGGGGGTTGTAGGACATGTGTATTAGGCACTGGGAAGGCTGCTACTGGAGCACTTGTCCAGACCTCCAAAAGGATGTCATTAAACTGGAGGGGGTTCAGGAGAGGATTATTAAAAGATTGGAAAACACATGTATAGAGTGAGCCTCTCCAAAACCTCCTCCAGCTGATCACTTTAACCAAGAGACATTTAAGAGATGACTTGATCACAGTCCTGAAGTACCCATGTGGGAAACAGAAGTTCGGTAACAGATGGCTCTTCAGTCGGGCAGACAAAAGATATAACAAAATCTAACAAGACCCAGTGACTGGAAAATAAAAATAAAAAAAGGCGGCCCAATTGAGATTTGAAATGAGGCGCAACTTGCAGCAAGAAGAGCAATTAAACCTTACATTTTGTGGTGGATTTTCTGGAAAACTAAGAGAAAAACGTCTCCTAAGAAAAAAACACCCTCGTGCAAACAGGAATGAATCCAGGGAAGTTCTGTGGCCCTGGTCGCACAGGCGGTCAAAGCAGAGGATCACAATGGTCTCTTCTAAGCTTTATAATCCACGAACCTAGGAAATCCTTAACAAGGGGCTTAAATGCTGAGGATGGGCTTAGGAAGACCTTTGCAACCGGCATGAATTTCACAGTGATTACACATTCTTCTTAAACATTTTCATTAACATAGTAAGTAAAGGATTCATTCTTCTATATGACAAATAGATACATCTACGTATATATTCATATATAAGAACGAATCCGTGTGTGTGTGTGTGTGTGTGTGTGTGTGTGTGTGTGTGTGTGTGTGTAGCTATAGATATCTATCCATCTATAGATAGATTTATCTATATCTATCCATCTATAGATAGAGCTGTCTATCCATCTATAGCCAGATAGATAGATATATCTATCTATCTATAGATGGATAAACAGATAGATAGATAGATGGACAGACAGACAGATAACCATCCAAGAGAACATTATCCTAATTTTTCAAGATAACAGATATTCTGTATTATTTCCAAAGTATTACTTTCATCCAATGGCATAAATATAACTTCACTTACATTAAGCAATCTATCTAGACTGTGTCGTTTAACTTAAAAAGAATCATCTTGTGTTTGCGCTTTTAAAACCCCACCCCGCTTTCAACACACACAAAGGGTGTGGTTTTCTTTTCCACATAATAATGTAATATAAGACTTCAAAAACCAAACATCAAGGAAACTTCATTTTTGTAGCCTGTAATTAATTCCACCCATTTTGCTAACATCCCAATGTAAAATGGGCTTTCCTGAGTATTAGCTTAAAAGAAAAAGAAAGGGAGAAAAGAAAAAAAGAGCAAACCCTCAGACTGCTTTACAGGCAAGTTACACCCAAATTCATCTTCTTGCATGCTGGAAAAGTCAACAAGCTAAACAAATGATTTTCTACTATTTAGCAGAAATAACCTCCAGCCTCCAAACAGCCTTTCCTTAATTGCAAATTGAGGGTAGTAGTAGGGCTCATTTACAACTGCACATCAGGGCTTTCACCAGCACGTGTGTTGACCAGAAAGAGAAACAAAGAACAGACAGGATGCGAAACGTGGAGTTCAGAAAATCTGAGATGACCGACCACCCGCGCACGAACGTAAAAAAAAAAGAGAGTCTTTCTGATCCTGCAGCTTCAGCCAAAATTATCATTTATAATCAGGGTCATATTTTGTACTCTCGCTGTAAACCCTACAGGGACAAATTCAAATTCAAGCGGGGTGCAACTCTCCCGGCACACCGGGGATGAATTTGAACCGCCGTGTTAAACCGTTCACAATCGTCACTGTTCTCCTGTCCTGTGACCCCCCCCAATGCTCGTTAGGAGTGCTGCCTCGTATGAGCCATCAGACACGCTTTGCTGAAAGAGGCCTTTGTCTGCTCAGGACTCCGCTTTCTCTTAAAATGACAGAAAATATGACTGCCCAGGCTCATCCTCCCCCCC